TTACGGAAAACTGGCAAAACATTCATCATGACAGATGGGGCAAGACTCCCCACAGAGTTCCTGTGCTATTTTGTTCCCACCACAATGGTATACTTCGCATGCACATACGCTGTAACAGCCGGCAACCATTCACTTGTAAAGTGGATGTAGGTGATCCATTTTTGTGCAGGAGGTAGGACATTCTATTGCAGGGGTGTCAAACATATGGCCCATGGGCCAGAACCGGCCTGTCCAGGGCTCTTATCCGGGACACGAGCAACTGGTTATTACCTTTACTGCCAGATGACAGATGCTCTGCATTATGTCCCTGCATACTATCCCAGTGCTAATGAGTAATGGATGGTGGAAGTGGGAGGGTTGGCATACTTTAAGAAAATACTGAGTGTTACTGTTTTAAGTACGTTTGTATTTTGAGTAAAAAATAATATTGTTCGTTGGGTTTGCCTGTGTCCTTTATAAAGTTTATATCTCCTGCTTATGCCACCTATGGCCCGGCCTTATCAGATCTGGCCCTCGTAACAAATGAGTTCGACACCACTGTATCTGTTGTCTTGATCCTTGAGACAAAGTGAACGGCCTTGATAGGAATCACAGACAACTGAACATGTCTTTAAATATCTATTTTTGGTTTGGTTTCTTGGTAACAAGAACCTGTCGAACTTAGGAACCATGCGATATGATGAACAAAATGCCCCTCATTATAGATTATCTGTGTAATGTATATAAAATACATTACTTGAGACAATACATTACTCTCAACCCATCTCAGAATCACCAACCTTTTAATGAGAGCGACTTCTTAGTAACGAAAACTATTCCAAGCTACTACCCCCACACGTTACCAAGTTTTGCTCTGTTCTAGAAAGAGATCATGAACTAGGAAGAGTACCAGGAATGAAACTATCAGCTTAGCAGGAAAAAACCCTCTATGAAATGAAACCTTTAAAAAAAAGAAGAAGCCTAGGACAGATTTTTTAAGGATCTTTTCCTGGGTCTTCTAGCAGATGCATAAGCTACTCTGCTGCAGCTGGTCAGTTACCAGTAGCTCATGAACTACCTGTTGGAGGCCCCTGAGCTACTAGATCCACACATGATTGGCTCTGACTGCAGTCCACACAGGGAAATCAAGTGCATAATGGTTAGCTTAACAACCAATCATAAAACCAGTCAAACACACACAACTGAAAATGGCCCTGTATATTTAAGGAAACCCTGAGAATACAACATATATCTGCTCACACACACATTGCATCCCACTCAGTGGGAATCAGGTCACTCACTATCAGGAGTGGATGATGCTAGCCCCTTCCTACACGCACACAAGTTGTACCTAAATAAAGAAGCAGATCAAGTAGAATCCTCATTTACCTTTTGCATGACTGATAAGCAGTTTAATTTTAAACATCTTACAATTATTTTGATAATGGACTGTTACTACTTTTCTCCTTTTAACATTACAATGATTTTAAGGTTATATGTTTATTTTTAGAGCTGAAAGCTAATTTGCTTGTATTTAATGAACATGTATTATTTTGATAAATGGTCTTTGACTGCAAATAAACATCATTCATTCGTACCTAAATACAGCAGTTTATTTTTCGAATACAGAGCTGCTATTCAGGTAACTTTACCAGTGTCTACTCTGAGGAAAGGAGCTGCGGTGGCTCAAGTGGTTAAGATGCTGAACTGCAGGCTGTGGAAGGTCGGTAATTCAGCAGTTCAAGACCCGGTTACCGCAAGACGGAGTGAGCTCCTGTCTCGTAGTTCCAGCTCCTGCCAACCTAGCAGTTCGAAAGCAAGAAATTGCAAGTAGATAAATAGGTACCACTTCGGTGGGAAGGTAACAGCGTTCCGTGCACCTTGGTGTTTAGTCATGCTGGCCACATGACCACGGAAATGTCTTCGGACAGCGCTGGCTCTTCGGCTTTGAAACAGAGATGAGCACTGCAACCCTAGAGTCGGATTCGACTGGCTTTCGAGCAAGGGAACCTTTACCTTTTTACTCTGAGGAACTTAATTATTTAAGTAAAAAAAACCATGACTTTTGCTTATAAATATTTAGCTTCCTGTACAATTTCACATTCCTAGAGAATTGGCACAAGCATTAAACAGGTGGAGAGTTACCACCAAATCATGATTTTAGATGGGAAGGCTGTAGGCTGAAAACTCTCCTTCAGCCCTATGGGTGATTTCAGCAATGCCTCATAGATGGACAGCTCCAAGTGAAAAGAAATCCCATACTCAAAAGTAAAACCAACCCAACCAATCCCACACTTTCTACACAGAGCTAGAATGTGTATTCTCAGCCCAAAAGTCCCCAGGAAAGCTTCGCATCCTGAAAAAAAATTCTTTACAGCCAAACAAGGAGATTTGTGATTGAATCTCCCAAATTTTTAAAATAAAATGCCAGAATACAATCACTGGGAACTGCCACTGTTTGAGCTGCTGTGGAATATTTTACCCTTTCTTTACAGCATTTTCCCAACTCAAACCACCACAGTGGTTCTATCAGATAGGTACACCAGGGACATGCAAGCAGACAAGTACCAACATCTAAATGTCAAAGCCCACCTTATAACAAGGCCTTTCAGGAAGCACACAATTACTGAGACAACATCTGACAACACAGCTCCTAAAGCTCAACCAATGAAAACCCTTTCAAAGCTCCTTAGTTTCTAAGACTTCGTTAGAAGTTGACTGTACATATTTTTCAGCCCTTGCTCTATGATGACAAAACTAGCTAGCTATCAGACAGATCTTACATTAATTTCTGTGGCCTGCAGGATGTATGAAATATGAGCAGTCACAGTGAGAATTAAGCAGAAATGGATTATAAATAAGTCAGTACATTTAAACTATGGGAAGCTGGTTGGGATAATTATTGCTTGTAGATTATGTGAAGAGTTGGAAAAGCTGATCTGGCTTTGTTGATCCATGCTACTGTAACCTCAAGCCTAGACTACGGTAACATGCTTTACATAGGGCTGCCACAGACATTACAGAAATTTCAATTACTACACAATGCAGCTGCTCATATAGGACTAGGATTTCCAGTGAACAGAAGGGGTACAAAAGGATCCTGAATCAACGATAATAACAATAGTGAGAAATGGGAGAGGAGAAACCTGGAATTAAATAGCTCAGTCGTGAGACAGTAAAGACATCCATCCGTCCCTGTATCACTACTTATGGAAGCATGCACAGCTGCTAGTGGATTTGCAACCTAGTAAGAGTTGTGCTCAAGCTCCACCCGTATTAGCAAGTACCTCCACATAATGCCTCCTACCTATCTACAGACCACAAGCCCGCATGATGGTCCCATATTCTCCTGTGCAATCGCTCACAGTGACTACTAGGCATCTGAAAGGGCATTTGAAGAAAAGCCCATTGTACCCTAAAATACTCACAGGCAAAGCATTCTATCCATGGCAGCTGTGACCATGGAAAGTATCCATTTCAGAGACTATTTTATGTAAGTAGCTAGCAGAACATATACACAGAGCAGAACATATACAACAGACTCTCAGAATACACTGGGTTGTGTTTAGTATTTAGCTGACAATGTTGGTTAGTTATTTGAATCAAGGGTGAAGAGAGACCTGTTCTGACCTATTGGTTTAAAATGAAGGGAGGCCGTGTTGCAAAATGCTTTACCCCTACTACTTCAGAAGTGCCAAAAAAGCATGTTAAGTCAATTGTCACTCTTAAAGCAAAAGCCAAGGAGACCAGAAACCGCAAGTCAAAAGGGGGAAAAATAGTGTTTTATTAACTACCACACTGTTATAATACACTTTAAACGTACAATAAGGTAGCCTTTAAATCTGAGGTGGTTTTAAGAACAAATGAACAGATTTCCAAATGTTTGTAAATAGGTGAACTGCTGTAATTATTGTATTTTTTTTGTAAAATGGTAGAGCACTTACAGACCGGCTATGCAAATTAAGTTTGTACATTTTTCTATAATTGAAAATATAAACAGTAATTAAAAAATAAAAAAAAGAATTCAGCTTAATAAAAAACATATATGTTTATCAGTTAAATGTACTGGATACATACAATTTAAGGGGAAAAGCATAAAGGAAAGATGTGAACATTTAAACGCAGATCAACTAACCAAAAAATTAACAGAAGAAAGCCTTGCAAAATTATTACTTCTCTATGACTAATATTAATGTGGTTTGAAGTACTGTCCCTATAGAACTGGTTTTCCATCATTTGCATATGTATTTACTGGTAATTTACATGATGGCTTTTAAGGCCCTGACAAGACAAGATATTTTTGGAGACAAGATCAGATAAAACCACTGCTGAAATGAATACCACCTTGGTTTTTGGTCCTCCAATATTCAAGAAAAGGGATCTTTCTTAATATTTGTTTTACCACCCAAAATGTTGCAACCTATTTTTCTAAGCTTCTGAGTATTTTTAAACATTGGTTATATTGCCCAAATTGGTTACTGAAAGTATATTAACAAGACATTATTTTGGCAAAATTAAACCTTAAACATGGCTTTTCAACAGGATTTAAAAGGTGACTATCCCTAGAGTTCCATGTTAAAATGTAATGTTCAAAATCTTACAAGAGTAATGCTTAAAATATTGTACATAGTTAACCCAATTAAAATAATTAGCTTCAAAATGACAACTTGATGAGCTAAGTAAAGCCTACACTATGTAACATTTGCTTGGAAACTTGATTTGTCAGTTATGCATAATAAAAATTCCAGTCATCAAGAAAATTACAAAATTTCTTTTATCATAACATGATTTCTTTTCACCAATCAACTTTTTATCTTACAATAGATAAATACCAACATGTTCTCATTTTTACACTAAACCACAAAGGATTGATGCATTTGATTAGACTACCATTTCCATCGTTAAATTTTTTTTATACAAGTTGGTAAAATTTAATCTCTTCTAGATTCCAAAAGTACCTACAAAACCATGCAATTTTACCATTTTAATATACTATGGAATATCATACAAAGTAAGGCATTTCAGTGTCGTGTACAACCAAGTTACTGTCAATCCAAAAAATTTTTGCACATCAATAAAAAGATATCTAAGAACTTAGGAACAATATTCTTCTCACTACTGTATAAAAATAACCACAATTAATAGGTATCTTGTGTAATATTTATTCCATTGTCTCATTTCCAGAAACAGTAACAAGCTGTAAAGGTATGTCAGCGTTAGTAAGAATATCTTGATTGCTGGTGCCAGATGTATTGACAGTTCCTATCCCTGAAACAGAACCTTGTTGAATATTAGCAAGGATAAGTGTTGTTCCACCTGCAGTAATCAAAGTATCCTCCGGTGTTGCTTCTACCGATGCCAGCACTGTACTGCTGGCATGGATAGCCTTTTTATTTTGATGCGTTTTAATGTGTTTGGCAAGGTGGTCACTTCTCATGAAGCGTTTTGAACATTCTGGGCAGACAAACTTCTTCTCCCCTGTTGAAAACAAAAAGCAAAGGAGTCTTTCACATCAGTACATGCAACAGCTGTCAAACATGACACAAGCAAAACAAAGCTATCTTTGGGATAAACAGATTTTTGAGTGTAGAACTGCATGCCATTTCAGTGTAGGGCTACAAAAGAAGAAATTGAAGGCTAAATTTCCCTCCAAAACATTCCTAAATTAACATCAATCAGAAAACACTATGTATTTAAAATATTCACACTCCCCCTACCAAGCCCCTGGTGGTTTACAACAATTTTTGAATATACAAGACCCAAGAGCAAAATAATGAAAACTCATTCTAGGGAAGGGAAAAAAACACACAACTCCCACAAAATCACCACTAGGAAAAGCCCGCATAAATAATTAGAGTTTTCAGCCAGAGCTTGAAATTCAGCAATTTAAGTGCACCACATGAATTTGCGCACAGAGGGAGTTCCACAAACAAGGCATACCAGACAATGCCACCTCTCTGGTAGATGCCTACCTCAACTCCGACGGGCACATATGAGAGCGCATAGAGCAGGGCCCTCTGGAGATGATTTTAACTACCAGGAAGGTTTTCAGCTGAACATGTTGTTCTCCCATCACCGATACCCCTCCACACACATACAACCATAAACAAACATGGATAACCTGTATGCGTTCTCCTGTGCCGCTGTAGTTCATCACTGCGGGTGAACCTTTTGCCACAGAACATCCAAGTGCAAATAAATGGACGCTCTCCAGAATGCCAGCGGAGGTGAGCTCTCAGGTGAGACGTCTTTCCGTACACTTTCCCGCAACCTGGTATGTGACAGATGTGCTGTTTCTTTTTTCCCAAATTAGTGCCCCTGTTAAAATGCACATTAAAACAAAGTTGCTGATCACAGTATTGCCAGACAGTTTAAGCAAGTAATGTACTTTGCTGAGATGGAAAGAAATGCATTGAAGCACATCTACATGGATCAACTGGCTCAGGAGCAGCCCTATAAACAAAAGAACCCCAACGAAGCCCCTAATCCCCCAGTCAGCTACCTACCTGTTTTCACTTGAAGTACCAGAACTCCCACAGGTACAGGTGTGGTAATTAAAGAGACCCCCTCACTTTTGCCTCATTGATTCCAAGCACATCTACAACACAGAATGTCAAAATACACACCTTCCGCCACCTTCTTTACAATTAGGACAGGTACATGCGACTCTTCGCAATCTTTTCCCTTCTTGAAGCGGTTGGTCCCCTTCTTCGTCTACCACCTGCACTCGCAAATGTGTCAGGTCGTTGGTATTCAGTGTCGAATCACCACCAAGCTGCCACTCTTCCGGATCAGGCTCCTCTTCTTTAATCCTAATATCTGAGGGAAATAAAAATCCATCAGAAACTGGCCTACTCAACAGAGAGAAGCCAAGCCTTAGGGATCTTTCACCTTTGACATACATATAGCATTGTGCTCCAGCTGAAACATCACGCGCTCTCAGCAACTGCCAGTGCTGGTATCAATTCTGGATTTAAAAGGTGCTCCTAGCTGCTGAGGTTTCAAATACCAATGCAAGAAAGTTTAACATAAAGTTGTCACCGTTAAGATAAGCAATTGTTTTGCTGGCTAGAAAAAATAAATAGAACAATGGGAACAAATGGCATCTTTGATCTACTACCAAAGATTGCTGGAATCTTTTCAGTATAAAATTTTCACAAGAACTCTGATTTAAATAAGCAGATGCCCATATAAGCAAATGCCTTTGTTTAAAAAGAGGAACTCAAGAAAGTTAAAAGTTATTATGCATGTTTATTAAATTCCTTGTAAATTACAATCTGGGAATTGGAGCTAACACAGAATTTCCATTCACACTTGAGCTCTTGCACAAGCAGAAATTCAAGAAGATGGCCAGAGTAGCCACTTGCACTAAGTCACACTTATTGCATCTGCACTTGCAATTTCACCTGCACAATATCTCTTGTAACCAATTTCTAGGTGCTGTAACATATACGGAGGAAAGGGCTAGGTGTTGTACCAGGACATGTGAAGGTCAAACTGTGCTAAATTAGTTTATGGCTCCACTTAAGCATCGCTAAATCCAGGCCTGTGTGTTTGCAAGAACTAAGGGACATGAATACAACTGAAAGTAAGATCATGGCTGCCTAAACAGGTCAACAGGGGACCTTATAACAAAAAATCAAATAAAATTATGTAGTAATGGATACAAAAACGGTTGTGTGTGTTTCAATTAACTTATATATGCAACAAAATACGAACTACAGAGCTCATGAAATACATACAGAGTATGAAGTGGTACGTGTGCATCAACAGCAGCAATAAATTCTATGTTCCAGGATGGAAGGGCTGTGCAAAGACCCAGACACAAACCACCACCACTACTTAGACTAAGCTGACAAAAGCCCATTGATTTCAGTGGACTCAGACTGGAATAACTGCATAGGATTGCACTGGCAGCTGCACTATAGAAAGCTAGCAACTCTGATGCACGTAAGTAAAGAATGCTAAGCGAGGCACCATGACTTCCTACAATGTGCCTTAAATGTATGGCATGCATTTAATGTTGCCGCAGCTTCAGAATTAGGTTAAAGCTCTGCATCCGGGCTCATAAAGGTGCTGAGGTTCAGCTCTTCCATTACCCTGGAATCTGCAGCTGAAGAGGAGAATATGGAAGTGATCTCCCTCCCATATGAAGCTGACTTAGGCCAAGGGAGGAGAAGCCGCTTCTCTCCTGATGATGGAACTTTCTGTATGCCCGTTAGCAAGTTCAATTAATACATGACTTGATGCCTGATCTTGCCCCATCCCTGAGAGAACCAATGAAGTACAGAAGATTTAAAGATCTCATTGTGACACTCTTGCTTTACATTTTTTTAAAAGCCACAGCAAGAGGGATATAAACAATTTAATAAAAAAATAAATAAATCAGACAGGCAAAATGAGCTTCACCACAATAATTGCATACTGTATTTACCAACCTCAGATATATTTCCCTTCAATGTTGCTTGCTTAAGCAGCTGCTGCAAACCAAGAATACACTTACTTAAAATTTACAAGAATCATACATTCGTTTTTGCTCCTAATTTGTTTATGTTATTTATTTATAGTCCACCTTTCTCACATGGACTCAAGGCAGATGGGATATTCAATAATTAATGCATTAGGATATTAGAAGACTGGAAACCACCAGAAAGAAGAAGAAGATGATATTGGATTTATACCCCGCCCTTCACTGGAAGTCTCAGAGCAGCTTACAAACTCCTTTCCCTTCCCCTCCCCACAACAGACCCCCTGTGAAGTAGGTGGGGCTGAGAGAGCTCATTCAAGGACTGCTCTTGAGAGAACAGCTCTGAGAGAACTGTGGCTTGCCCAAGGTCATCCAGCAGCTGCAAGTGGAGGAGTGGGGAATCAAACCCGGTTCTCCCAGATCAGAGTCTGCACACTTAACCACTACACCAAGCTGGAGCAAAGAACAGGAGCATATAGCCTAGGTATTCATATGACATGTTAAGCTATACGGAAATTGTAATAGCATCCTGTTTACAATATGCTGTACACAGCAGAAAAGACCACACAAGTCCTGATTGTTTATCGAAGTAGGTTTGTGAAGCCATTTTGTGCTGGGTAGCTTTATTACCTGTGCAGAAGAGCCCTCCTGGATAGTTAAATTCTACATAGTTTGCAGAAGGCCAGGAGTGGGAGCTTTTCTCCTCCTCAAGCAGGCCATTCCACAAATGGATAGCTACTTTGTGCACCCTTTAGAGCCAGCGCGTGCTCCGTCAAGGTAATTTCAAATAGATGGGCAATTTATAGTGCAGTTCCAAACAGAGTTACACCTTTCTAGGTCCACTGAAGTCAACAGCCTGAGGCTGTAAATCTGTCCAGGGTTACACTATTAATCACGTTTTATGGCATTCATCATTCGCCTCTCCCCTTTCTCTTGTGAGGCAAGTTAGGCTAAGAACATATGACTGGCCCAAGGTTACCCTGTGAGCTTCAGGACAAGTGGGGATTTGAACCTGGGTCCCCTAGGTCCTGGTCCAACACACTAACCAGTGCACCACACTAGTTCAAGAATCCAAGACAGACAGTAGAAGTAATAAGTTAGAGAGAATATACAACTGTCAGGTATTTATTTGGATAATTTTGCTCGTTTGTAGATTCCAGAGACATGGAGTGGAAATTTCAATTTCCAAAAAGATCCATCATTTCATAAAATTAACAATGAATGGATGTCATTCCCAATACAATATTAGGAATGCTTGGCAGTGAGTTTCAAAGCCGTAATTAATGTTTTTTCACGTGACTATCCTTAGAAATTGTGTGTATGTATGTTTTATTGATTTGTAAACCAGGTGTGGGGGGCAGAATGCACCCATAAATAGCCAGTGTGGTGTAGTTGTTAAGAGTATCTGACTAGTATCTGGGTGACCTGGGTTTGAATTCCTACTTGTGTCATGGAAGCTCTCTGGGTGACCTTGAGCCAGTCACACACTCTCAGCCTAAACGACCCCACAGGGTAATTGTGAGGACAGAATGGAGGAGAGGAGAAGCTGCCTTGGGTCTCCACTGGGGAGAAAGGCAGGGTATAAATGAAATAAATGCATAAGACAAATTTTTTAAGATCAACTGTACAGGTCAAATCAAAACTAAAACTAAAATTCTTATGTCTCCTCAGATGGTGAAATGGATATTAGTCAGCAGTGTAATATGTGACTAACCAGTAATGCAGGTGATAGTGAGACTGAGGTCCTCCAGTAACCTTAGCGGACGAGAGTTAAATTCTGCTGAAACCGGTAACCGGGCAGTTACATCCACTACGTAGCATCCAGTTCTTTCAGGATGCTCTAATTATCATATCAACAGTTCTCAGGGCCCTTGGGGTCCCCCCCCCAAATTTAAACAATGTAAGGGAAGTATGTGCTATATTGCCTTTCCCAATTAAAATAATTCCCACATAAAGCTCTGGATTTATTTGAACATTTAAAACCACACATGATCTCTCCCCCCCTTAAGTTTGAGTATTTTTACTATGGACATAAAATTAACATGGGGTACTTTTAAAATGTGTTTATTAAACGGAAGTCAAAACAAACATGTTCAATCAGATCATGCTGTGTTTACACACATGGGAGAAGTTTCTGGGAAATGTTGTGGAAAACTTTCCAATTTATTGTTTCCAGAATGTCCACATCACTGGCAAGTTCATTGTAGAATAAAATATTTTATAGGCTCCCCCTCCACCATTTTCTCCTCACTTTGTATTGATCTTTCTATATTTGAATCATGCCTGCCACAGTGGTATATTTAAGATGGATGATGGAAGCATATGATTTCATACAACTAAGACAGGTATCACAAGGTCATAGACATGGCAGCCACTGCATGCTACAGTAGTATCTCTCATCTGTCCTGATGTCTTGGGGGACTGCTGGGGATAAGTGCGACCAAAAAAGGGAGAAAAACACAATCCTGCATATGAAAGGTAACCAAAAAGGTTAAGACAAAAAAAACCCCCAAACCCTAAAATATAGCTACGCATGTAGTACTAATTAGAGATGGGCATGACCCACGTGATGAACCAAAACTCGTGCCGAATTCTGACTAGATCGGGGCTCGGGAGGTAATATTCATTCAGCACGTACATGTTCTTCAAAGAAATCTCCAAGCTTTTGGGTGTGGGTTGGGGCAGCTCAAAAAATGAAACCCACCCAGAAACTCTGGCATGAAAATGCTAGACAACAGTGAGGGTGGTGTTTTCCAGCCATGGAAACACAAATAGGAACCCTCCAAAGTTTGACAGACATTGCTGCCTACCAATAATGGGAGTTCCCATTTACCGCAATGGGACTCAGATCTATGTAAGTGTAGGACGAGTGTGCATTCCCTTTGTTGTCGTCGTGGTTTTGGATGCAAAAAAGCTTTGCTGCTGGGGGGAATTGCTTAGCTAGCTTACGCAGTCAGAGGCAAGGGGGCTTTGCTTTGTGCTGGGTTTCTCTGTGATGCTATTTGTTTTTTGCTTGTTTGCTGCAAAGGGTAGAAAAATTGGGATTGAATTCCTCTTTCATATAGCAAGCATTTTTGTTTAGTGGAATTTTCCTGTGTGCTGTCTGCTTCCTTGATGGCTTCCCTTCCTGTTTCTTTTCATTTTACCACACACACCCCACACACACACTTTGGGTTGCAGGAAAATGAGAAACTGCTCTTTGGATATTTTTTCAGGCTGCTTGGGGGGGGGGGGTTCAATTTAGTTCTTTGCCATTATACCCACACACACACACTGGGCTGCTTTTTGTTTTGGGATGATCTGTGTTTGTCTTTACTGCCCACTGACTTTGCTGATCTCCATTTGAAACCCC